GGGGTGAGGGGGTGGAGGGGGGGGGGGGGGGGGGGGGGGGGGGGGGGGGGGGGGGGGGGGGAAAGAGGGCCACTCATACCCTACGTTTAACCGAGACACCACTAAACCTGGGGCTTTTAAAAAAGATGGGGCTATATGGCGGTGTGGTGCTTGTAGTAGACTCAGTATTCGTCTTTCTTCTTTTTTTTTCAATTGTTAAATTAAACAGTGATTTATCGGGACAAAGCATCGTAAAATGCCAATAGATTATTGAACAGCTTTCTATTGCATACTAATATTTACTTAAATCAGACATCTTAAGCCAGAACGTTTTTCCTGGCTCCTGCTATCTCTTGGATATTTTAGAAAAGAAAAAAATTAAACTGATTGAAGAAATAATGTAATTTTTGTATTGCTTTCCCAACCTTACCTTTATTTTCGTTTTCGTGTCCTTAAACCCCCTTTACACTGGACGGCGTCCTTTCTGCGTCCAGCAGTACGGCCCCATTTGAGAGTTAAAAAATTATAATACTTTACGTGCCGACAACTGGCCGATCATTGAACATTCATTCTGATACAAAACCAATGCTCCTGCCTCCTTATTAAGACCACAGCAATGCCAAATTTCATGGTCGCAGAAAGGACGCAGAAAGGACGCCGTCCAGTGTAAAGAGGGTATTATGAGCCGCATGAACCGTCCCCGTGATTGAGTTATTCGAAATAGAGCTCGGGGAATTAAATGAGAGGTTGAAGTCAGCGCCTAAGCCTCTCGCCGCAGAAGTAAAATGTATTTAGAACTTAGCTAAAATGTCAGTCTTAGTACATTAATGGAAAAAAGCGAAGACGCGTCCAGTGCCGTTTTAAATAAAATCGTTTTTGGACTATAACCAAAGTAAGTAGATGGCTTGCTCGCAACTGAACTACGGGGCTTTATTCTCTTCACCAGAGGTCCCTCCTAGCTGCTACAAAATTGGACGTTTATTTTTGTAACAGTTAGAGGGGCCTTGAATTGGTTAAAGAGTAGCTGGGTCAACAGGGGAAGCATATATCATTTATATATTCTCTCTCTCTCTCTCTCTCTCTCTCTCTCTCTCTCTCTATATATATATATATATATATATATATATATATATATATATACTGACCGCTTTACTTATGGGTATGTGCAATCAAAATCAAATTGCGCACATTTCCTGTACATACATACATAGTAAGTCTTTTGACGGTTTTACTTAAAACGGCGATGAACACGACCTGGGGCGCATATCTACAAATACCTTAACTGGCTGTGACTTCCTATCATCAAATTAGCGCGTACGATATTGCGTACAGCCTCAAATCTTGGTAAGAATAACATGCAATATATTACCAGCAATTACTCCGTGTTGAGACTTCTAGTAAATGATCCGTCAGTACTCATACAAAAACGCCACACTACGAAGTCGATCCCAATTAATGAAAATATATAATCCAATTTCTCTATCACTTCTCGTAGCTACATGTACCACACCAGAGTGTTGAATGTGCAATACTAAAAAAATGGCGTGTTATGATTTCCCGCATCATTTCCGGTCCTCGGTGTCAATGTTTTGAGCAAACAGAACTTTATCTCAGTGAAAAGATTCGCAGGTAATAACGCCAGACACCAATGTGGTTTTATCAGTGATCAATGATCGCAGGGCGGGTAAAATTGAAAAGGCGACAAAAACGTCACGAATGAGGTGTTTGCTTACTAGTGAGATAAGCGGTTCACTTAAGGCAAAACCAAGGAATAGGGTTTTGGTAGCATAGAACGCCCCCCTCACCCATTGCCCCACCCCATTAACATTCCAGTAAAAGCTCATAAAACTATATGTTGTCGACAAAAATAATGTATTGCTCAATATAAAAAGTTTAGTGAAGAAACATACATGTACCCCTCTCTCTCTATCTCTCTCTGTCTCTTTCTCTCTCTCTCTCTCTCTCTCTCTCTCTCTCTCTCTCACACACACACACAAACACGAAGAGAGAGAGAAGCACACGCACCCACAGAAACACGGTCAGACATATGTATTACATACATACACAAGCACTCTAAATTTCCTTCTCTTATATACACACCAACACGAACAGGCTTGAACGTACGCACACACACACACACACACACACACACACACACACACACACGTATTCTAGGTAACATATAGGTTTCTACAATCTCAATTTCACCCGGGTCTTTTTATGCGACGTAGATATGTATGATGTTTTCAACTGCCACTCAGTAACACACCTGTTCACATGCACTCTCTATGTTCTAAGGAGGTAGCTACTGCCAAATAGACTCATGAAAAATCTTTTAGTTATTAATTAATAGCTAGTTATCAATTATTTAGTTATTAATTAATAGCTTGCCGATATTTTAGGCGTTCATATATCTGTTTACAGGCCTGTAGCCTGCAATTGCAAATGGGGAGGGGGGGGGGGGTTCTCTTTCTGAAAATGCGGCCCTATTGTCAAGAAACCTTGATCAGTTTACCCAGAGTGGACCTTTTCCCGGGAAAAAGGGGGGTTCGGGTTCTTTTGAACGCCCGAACCCCCCTCCCCCTTGGCTACGGGTCTGTTTAACTACTTTGCTTTTATTATTTCCACCCATATTGTACATATTCACAATGTTTGTGGTGCATTGGTTAACTTTACAATTATATTTAACCTCATAGTCTTTAAGGAAATGATTTTAGCTGCAGGGTTAATCTTTATCCTGACCACAGACACATAAGAGGCAAACACGTGTCCATTTGGCAAGTAAATCACATGACGTATTAATGCTAAAAGTTCCAGTCAATGGTCAAAAAGCTACTTGATATGTTAAAAATTGTTATAGTCAATAAATCATGGGGAAGAGGGTTTTCTCATCAGAAGCCATCTTTTCTCACTTTCGAAATTGGAAAAAGAAAATTGTAGAAAATGTATAGTGTAAATATTGTAAATAAATCTAGGAAACATTTTACGTATATTGAGTGCAGGGAAACTTTCAATAACTGTTTCATAAGGTACATGTATGTATTTCACTTGAACCTTTTTCTATGCTTTTTCGTGCTTTTAGATATTAACTTTTAAAAGAGTACACTAATCAGGCAATTCCAGTAAAAACTATTGGAGATAACTTGAATTAAGCAATTAATGAAGCCTTAAGGCAGCTATTAATTTAAATAAACACATGGATTATCTCATACTGAATTACTGAAAATACTAAATAATTTAAATACATTCGTCATACTGGAGGTAAATCATAATCTAATTGAATCCGTAAGAAAAGTCATCTTAAGTCATCTCATTGTACACACACTTCTTCTGATAACAAGGGCGTTGAAATGAAGTCATATCACAGGTTAAATATTAAAAGCACCCAATACACTCAACAACGTTAAAAAGCTTCTAAGAATGTGTGTTAATTTTTAACATCTTAAATGTTAATTGGTTACGTCATAATGTTAGTATATAAGTGATTCATTATTTCATCAGTAGCCTCATTTTATTGGAGACTTGTGGAAGCTAGAGGGATCAACACAGATAAACCTGTAAGTAATGACATTCCAAGTTTTTTATTTCAATGATATTAAAATACAAAATTTTGTCTGAAAGCACAAACAAAGGATAAAGGTATTAATCGATCACATTGTGTTTTTCAACGGAAATGAATGTGGCTTGTTGATCCATGGAATGTAAAGCAGGTAAATTAGAAGAACCAATTTGAACATTTTATCCCTTGCCCTCAAGTAATTAAAACAAGATAATGGATGTTAGAATACTATAAAGGATAGCTTCAAAGCACAACAGCTACTGCTTTCTTTCTACCTTTCTTATTAGTTCAGATCAGGAGTCCTTCCATTAATATAAGTGGAAACAGGGCTATTTGTTAACAAAAATTTATGTTAAAAACCGGTGACTTTGTAAGCCCATAGGGCTGGGCAGATACATATTCATATCATTGTATTACCTGCAATCTACCTTCAATCATCACATTGTGCGAACACATTTGACAATAACAAAGAGGTTGTTGAGATAAAGTCATATGATTAGTTATACGTAATAGAGACTAATACATTCAGCAATGTAATCTTAAATCGTCTCATTATACCCACACTTCTTCAGATAACAAGGGCGTTCAGATAAAGTCCTATAGTTAAATAAATCTATTATAATAATAGGTTATATATTAAAACACTCAACAACGATAAAAAGCTTCCAAGAATGTAAAACAGCGACCAGGAATGCAAATAATTATTAACATGACCCTGCTCATCGATAAACAATTGGCTACAGTGTCATAATATAAGTATATACATTTTTCTTGGTGCTATCATCAGAGACTTCTGGAAGCCCGAGAGGTCAATACAAGTAAATCTGTAAGTATTGGAAGCGTTTCTTTTGATTTCAAAGATATTAAAATACAAAATTGTAAAATACAATTATTGTAAAACAATACAATAGATAATGATTTGCTGTGTATCACATGATATTTTTTCTCGAAGATGTTTGTGGCTTGTCTAATCTGAAGATTCCAAATGTCAAATTTAAACATTGCTTTCAAGTGATGAAAAGGACAAAGTTCGTCAGAATAGTGTATAAGATAAGGCTTCTAAAGACGAATATAAGTAGCTTTATAATTCTGGCATTCCATCTGTTCCACACACAGTACACATAAAACAAAAAGGGCCCTTTAGATATTGAACGGGTGCTTACTTTTGTCCTGATTTGGTGCAAATAAGCATTTCCATGCACACTATATATAAAGCGAAAGCATGCATGTCTTGTGACGTCTGTACTGGGAAGATTTGGTGAAAATGTACGTCTGAGAAATAATACAATAATGATGTATAAATCAAATCATTAAAATAAAAGCTATCAAGTATGATGAAAATACACACATTACCTTTAAAGATGCATATACCCTGTTGGTCAAAATCAGACTTAAGAAGTACCTTTTTTATAATACTGATTGATATGATGTTATCACAAAATGTTCATTGACTTCATTTGTCTTCTAATAAAATATGGTAATTTTGTTTTATGTCAGCATCAGGCTTGGGGGGGTGAAAGTGCTATATTCGTTTTTCATTATTAATTTTCACTATTAGATGGGCTCGCATCAGAAAAAATCCAGTGGTACGTAATGGGGGGAGAGGGGGGGGGGCGGGGGACTATTTTCTAATAATCACTTCCTTTAGATTTCATTACTAATGATTAATTACACCAATATCTAATGGAACATAGAACACAAGGCCGTCTAAAATCGATTTTTAAATATTTAATCAAAATCTGCCTCATCCGATTGTACTTGATGCCTCGATCTGCTAGTAACTAAAATGATATTTGTCATTAATTCCGTCAAGGAGGTATTGACTTCCTAGCTTGTCTGTCAGCAGCTTTATGCAAATTGCAGGGATTATGATGAAATTTTCAGGATACGCCAAAAATGGGCCATTGAAGAAATGACAATGTTTTGGTGATAATCCATTTATCAAATAATTCATAATAATTATTAAATAATTAAATCTAAAAGTAATGAACGGGGTTTTGATGCAGTTTTCAGGATATGACAAAAATGGGTCAAGGAAGAAATTATAAGATTTATATATAAGATTTTGGTTTATGATCCCTTAATTATAATTTATGATTAATTAATTCAGTATTAGTGTTTTTCTTGTCTATTATTTTTGGTGAAATTTCAGGATAGGTCTCAAATAGGGCAAGAGGAAATGATTAAATTTTGGGGAGGATCCAGAAATTCATTAATGGTTAATTATTGATTAACAAACTATTATTGAATTAATGACTTATTATTAATAATAATTAAATAATTATTATCAGTTAGTTATTAATTATCAGTTAATTATTACTCTGCGGTCTCTGAGTGCTCCTGCTTTATCTGCTGCAGTTACGGAGTTATCCCCCTAACCGATTGCTTTCTACACCCACTTACGAGGAGTCGCTTCTCGGCTCTTCAACAGGTAAGAAGAACACCTGATACCTATATTTTGATCAGCATAGTCAAAAAGAATATGCCAGTAATAAATAACCAAATAACATTGCTTAAATAAGAAACAATGGATTTTGGAAATATTGGATTTTGTCTATTATTCTATATTTCAGAGCAATACTATTGGATATATAACCTTTTTATGGGGGCAGTCACCTTATTATTTTCGAATGTAAAATGGAAAATTTATATTGCATCGCATTTATTTACTTTCAAAGGCTAAATTAATTATGGACTGCGTGAAATGTAAACCCCAAGTTTCTACGAGGGATAATAATAGTAACAATCCAAGTGAACAGGAACAGGACGACGACGCTGAGCCAGCAGTCCATTTTGGATGTGAGGAGACTGCAGGACCTGAACCTCAGGGTATTTAATTGATTATTGTATTGTATTTGTTTGATTTTTAAAGAAATAGTTGATGCTCGGAAAATAT